AATTACTAGGCCGTGCGCGGATCTTCCATCCATTTATAGATCGTAAAGATTTCAAGAAAGAATCAAATATAAACCCTTATAGAATTTCATTTCTTTTCGTCTATTTATTTTTCATCTATTGAAACTATCAATGCAGGAAATGAAATTCTATTTTGCCGATCCGGGCGACCGGGGGAGCACCGCCATGAAACTGCAAGATTCGCGAATGTGGTAATCAACACATCCGCACTCCAGTAATTATCCAATTATTCGGCCGCTAATTCTCCGCGGTTGTCCGCGATTTTACGTTCGTGGAAAGGAAGATTTGTAAAGGTACTATTGTTGATTGGGGGTAATTTTTTGATATTAGTGGAATTTATGGGATATGCTGTGAAATGCAGTAGTGAGATTACTTGAAGATTGCTTGAAATGTATCTATTGTGTTAATATAAACTATGAATTCAAATCAAATCTTGCTAATGCTTTTTCCAATGTATTTACTTTTAAAAATTTGGTTAAATTGAATAATAAATTTTGAGGTACTTCGTACAGTCTACTTTTTAACTATTAGCACTCTAGATGATTTTGTAATCTATCAACAGCTCCAAGCCATTTTTATATTGCCCCTCGAAAATTAGAAATGTTATATCGTAACATTTCGTAGATTTTTTTATTTTCCTTCTTAATATAAAATTTTGGTGTGTAGAAAATCCAATAATCTTAGGGTAGTTTTTCTAAATTTATTCATTAAGATATTTAATAGTATAAATGGTGTCATAGAGGAACCTATAAAGTGCAAAGGGTTAATACACAAATTATTCTTCATTGTCATACTCACTGTTATTTGTTTATTTAGTACATGGAAATATCTTTTGTAAAGAAGAAGATTGAGAAAAGTATATGTATACACATTCGTTAACTTGGTTAATTAAATTCAATTTTAAAAGTCATGTCCCCAATGTTCTTAAATTTTTTCATTAAATTAACAGAAAATGATTTCAAATGTTGCTGTAGGTAGATCAAAACCTTTTATAAAGTAATGACATTATAAATATCTTCTGACATTACAAATGTCAGCAGTATTATTCTTTCAATCATAAACGCTTTTTCATTTTTTTTCAAATATCATTTTTATCACGGAGCTAACATGTTTTTAGTATTTTGTAACAATTTTCTGAACTTTAGATCAAAATTGAAATATAAAGTTTAGTTTATAATCATGCGTCTTTGTTTGTTTGGCATTTCTCGAATATGTATAAAAATTGCCCCTGGCATTCAAAGGGTTAATGATCAAATTCTACAAATTTCTTTATGGCCATTGTTTCACTCATGAGGTCTGTTAACGATTTACAAATCCATATCGTAAATCACGCAGTTCCCCTTAATCTTGTTATGCCTGTATCACCGTTCCATCGCCATTACTTAACCAAACACGTAGGACACCTTTGCGCGTCTATCCTGAACCCTTCAGCAAAATGAAACTGCGGCCTGATCTCTTGTTTCATCTTTACGGTCGTACGGCTGACGCCAGTTTCCTTAGTGACTCATGCTAAATCGTGCAGCGAGGATGCTTAACGGCTGAGAAAAATGTGAGGTTCGCAAAATTACTGCCACACGTGAAATGTACTATTTGCATTTTATGAACTGACCGCAATTAGAAAGACAATTAAGATTAGCGTTGTAAGTAGATTCTTGGAAATGTTGATCTTGTCTGAAGCATAGTTCAAAAGTGAGCAGCAATCCTAATAAATTACGGGTATAGGTTGTTTTGTATACTCATGTAGACGGTTATTATTAGACTGCAAATCTTCATGCAAATTAAAATTTTTTAAGGCATAAATGGAAAAAGAGAAAGAAAATTTGGAAAATAGTTTTTCCTAGGAATATTGTAAGAAGCATTATACTTTGTATATTTTATATATTCTTTCATGTTATAATCATTCGCGTAACTTTGTACTTTTAAATTTCTTATAAATGAATAGCGATCTAGTTATACAATAACATCATAATGATATATGTTGCATCTATGATTTTTTATGAAATCTTGAAATTGTGTATCCCTTTTGCAATAACCTTTTATCAGATATATTCATTAATGCAAAATCTCTTAACAGTATTTTTGTGAAATATTATAAATAGTATTCGAAAATATGCATTAAGTTATCGAATAAAGTATTTAGTTGATAATATTCAAGTATTTATCGTTTTAATTCAAATATTATTGATGTTTATCCGGTAATTAGTATTTTACGGTGTTCATATAATATTCATATAATATTCTATAAATCTGAAAATTTTCGAGGTATCGAGCTCACCTTGGCTTCTTTAAACGGATCATGGTATTTTTCATCGCACGGTTTTATAGCTGACGCGAAGACGAATTCAACGACCTACTCCGTCTCCATGCGTTTGTGTTAGGTAGGATAAGGCACACTGGCGTCAGTGATTTCGGCTCCGATAGTATCTGAAAATTAAAAGTTGATCAATATTATTACTTTTGACCGCATTCTCTATCATATGACGTACGAAACCCTAGACGATTTTTCTTTTTTCAAAGTAAATTCTCCAAATGACTGTATTTAACAAGAAAAACATAGGCTTTACTTCAGACATGTTTTTTCCCATGTTGTCAAAACGAATTGCAGAAGGAAAATAAAATCGTACGTCATACGATAGAGAGTACACTCGCAAATAATAATATTGGTCAATTTTTTCTTTTACTTTTAGATACTAGTGGAGCCGAAATCGCTGGTGCCCTTTTAAGTTTCAATGGATTCGCTTCTCAAGCCATACGTAGCATAAGAAAACCACAACAAATTTAATTCAATTTTAATATTCTGTTTTTCACTTTTCGTTTTCCCTACTTCTATTTCCACTTTTGTTTCATTTTCTGTAATCGTTAATTTTATTTGCTTTATCGCTTCTTTTTCATTGATATCATTGTTTTCCCCCTCTTCCACTATTATAGTACATAATCAGTTACCATCTAATAATAGAGGAAGTAATAAAATAACATTGTAACGCATTATAAATCAGTAAAACAATTTTATATTTTACATTATAAATTATATTTATAATTAGCTAGTTAAAATTATAATTAGTATTCACTTCTAAATATGTACGCTTTATAATGTTGAAATGTTTCAGGAATGAAAAACTTAAAAATGGTATTATATTATTGTTCATCTGGGTAACGTAAGTTTTATGCTACAAGTATTTCATTAACTACAGATATCATCGTTAAATATATCGCGTTTGCACGTGTTAATAAGTGTATACACGTATTATAATCACCATATGCGTTTAGTCTGTATTATAATAAGACCGGCCTTTCATATATTTCTCCTGGAAACCTTTATTATAAAAGAAATGAATATAACTTGTTACTTAGGAATGGCGATCGTTACTCGTCGCCTGCATTTATCCGCATCTTTACCTGATTTCTAGTTGCCTTCTTCGTTTACCAAGCGATCCTTGCGTGAAATCATACAGTAATACCCTCACAAATGCAAATGAAATCACAATTGTATTTATCGTCGAACGAATCGCTCCGGACCCATTAAAATTACCCTTTACTCGGGTTTTTATTGGATATCGGCGGTCAAGGAATCATCCAATTCACGAGTTAACAGAATTTGCCTAACTGTATAATCAATAAATTTTTTTACAAAGTAAAGTTCCCTTAATTGCTATGCGCCGGGGTTCAACCTAAAATTAAAATTAAACAACAAGAAACACGATAATCATAAAGGTGGCCGAAACCGGCCGCGACCGGCGTGTCTACCCTAGATCAACGCCCGATAAATAAGACATTACCAATCAGTCCGGTTTCATTTAATACGCGATTATCTCAGACAACTGTGGTGCCACTAAAACCGTTCGCGAAGATAAAACTACAGAACAGTTCGCTCTCTCTGTTTATCGGTCCTACCGAGAAATCGTTCGCTGCTAACTGTAATCTCCTGTTCACGTTAAGGCTAGTCCAGACTGACAGATTTTATCTATAAGCTGTCTACGTACTACTATATGCAAAAGAGTTCGTACAATAATAACAACAAAATTCGGTGTTTCAATTTTGTTACTTACAGTCTCGCTTCACACTGTTCCAGTATAACGCAGTATTCTTGAAATTTTATATTTTTCTCCTTTTCTGTACTTTCCCCACTTCTGCATTTCTTTCAGAAACGAAAAATAACAACTATAAAGTCGATATAATACCGGAAGAACCGAAATCGATATAACTCAGAAACAATGTGCTTAATAACAATTATGACTTTACTTCGGTTCTCCATAACTGTTTCAAGAACCGAAACCAATATCATAACTATTTTGAACTCCTGTCCACAAATAGAGGAGAGTAGGATAGAACGGAATGCCAATGTTTTTCGTAGATAATAGTTGTGCACTGATCTGCAGTCGATCACAAACTAAACCAAGGTCTATTTAGGTCTATCTCGTTCAATATCAGCTCGATAAAGAGCTCTTTATCAACGAAAACCATTAATGTTTTACCACGGATTGAAAAGGCTCCGAAAATAAGAAATAATAAAACTGTTATATATTGGTTCCGACTGAAACAGTTATGAATAACTGAAACAGATTTTGAAAGATAGGTCTTGGTTAGGGATATAATATCGGCTCTGAAATGGTTCTATAACTGTTATTTTTCAGTTCTTCATTTCGGTTTTTCATAACTGTTTCAAGAACCGAAATCCATATTATAACTATTTTCAATCCCTGTGTTTTACCTTACTCTCCCTTACTTCTCTATTGTCATCCAGTCTGGACTAGCCTTTAGAATCGAAATGTTTCTCGGATCCGGCTTAGGAGCGCCCTGACAGTCACTGAGATCGTATAAATCGCGTTGTGGAAGAACTGGATCGTAAACGGCGAGGCTAAGGTGGTAACAGCCGCCGATCGACTATTCGCTCGCGCATTATTTTTAGACGGTACCTGCTCCGGGAATATGATTAGCGTACGGAGGGATGCGTTCGCGTGGCTCTTTTAGACAATGTTTACAATTATCCGCCGCGTGTAACCTTGCCTATCAGATAAAATCAACGATCTGCTAAAACGAGGGAAACAAATGATAGCCGAGAAACGGCTTGCAATTTCAAGATTATATCGATTTCGTTCATCGACGAAGAACCCGCTAGGACGCGGACGGATCAAACGCGAGTAACGCCGATGGAGGAACTCCGGAGGAACGGGTTGCGGAACAACCCGACGCGACGCGCGGCTTTCCCGGTTGGCATCAACGTGTCATCGACGTGTTCACCGAGGAAATCAGTGGATCGGCGATGTTGCGTGGGACAAATTGATTTTCGATGTGGAAAGGTCGCTTCACAGTACCTACAGGGTGTTCCTCTAATAAGTCGAAGACACAGATGGTAGTCGATGGTACTGATCGTGTCTGGAAGTGTGCGTCATTGAAAGCTTGTAAGACGAGGCTGTCGAGAAGTTTTTTCTTTGGATTTATGCGTTAGATAATTTGTTAGGCCATTTTATGTACCTTTTGATACATCCTGTGTAATTTTCGTTATATTTGATCGTTACTGAATAAACAGCTTAGTATACTATCTCAGAAATTAAATGTTGTTTTTGCTGAATCATTAACTATCAGCTCGTAGTAGAGTATTGAATATATGAATATTGTATAAATGGTATATTGTAACTTTGAGGAATGTGGAAGATATTGACAATTTCTGGTGCCTTGTGTATTTGTAATGCGCAGAAGCGTTTGGAAATATACAAATGATGAATAACAAAGTTACTTGCAATGCAATATTGTTTCATTTTCTTTTCATTTAATAGATTCATTAGTACAGAAAATAAAATTTTATTTTGACTTTCGTTCCATTTTGATATATGTAATTTTACGTAAAAAAATGTAGTTAAAAAAAGTGAACTGTTCTATTTGTAAAAAGCAGGCTTGTATTGTTACTGAATGAAAAAAGTACGAATTTTATAATTTTTCAATCAGTAATATCATAAACATGTTCATACTCAAAATTATTTAAAAATATAACATTTTCATTTATACAATACAATAAATATTATAAATATTGCACAAAAACATAAAAGAATGATCTCTTATTATTCTTATTTATATATCATTCATTTTAGTCTCAGTCTCATGACCCCATCCGTTAAAGCTGCAGTATAAAAATTAAAAAATTCAAATTTTATGCCTCATTACACGGAAACATACTACTGCAATCAAAATTCACGTTTCGTCAATCCATTTTTATTCGGTACCAATCCGAGAACATTCTTCTGTGATGATCTCCGAGCAGAAAATCTTCCACGGTCGGAACAATATAATAAATTTACAATGCTCGAGGAGAGGAGGCAGAAAAAAAGGTAGTTAGAGTCGTAAAAACGATGCTTGTCCTCGACTTCCACGCTCGGGACCAACCGGTCTGCCTCACGGAACGGTCCGAAAACGATCCGCCGGCAAATTCGCGGAGCTATTGCTTCATCTGGCTCGCGGGTAGAAGAAGCTCCTCGACCAGCAGCAGCTAAGAAAGTAATGCTGGGTTTACATTAGTCCGGTCGTCGGATCAAGCGATTTTATTCACGTGTTCTCAGGGGAAATCGGTCGACGTCTACATTATTCCACCATTTTTGAGAAACAGAAATTATATATATATATTTATAATTGACTATAAATCAGAAATCGACCTATGTGCAGTGGCTTCTGTAAATATCGAAAATTAGTAATAACTATAAGAAGTTAATATGCGAGTGGTACATAGTAATAGTGTAATGTTAATATTACAACTATTAATGTTAATAATTAATAATTAAGATTTTGTACTAGTATTACGATGTTATTAATAATATTGATCACTGTTAATTATTAATATTATTAAATGTAGTATTAGCATTTAATTAATGCAATTACTCTGAGCTTTGAACCTATTCTGGACTGGATTAACTCCTTGGCTTAAAAAATCGTGTAAATGCTTTTAATAGAAATTTCAAACATAAGAAACATAAATATTATTTTATTCAGTTGAATTGAAACTTAAATATTACTTTTCTATTATCAATTATCAATCTTCGAAGTAAACAGTCACATAAGATCACGTAAACTACTGTTTGTTATTCTGGAGATGAGCCCTGAGATGGCGCATGGTACCTTTCGCTATGTGTTCTGTTTATAACTTTCATTGGTTACGTGTAACCGTATTGTCGAATAGCAAATCAGCACCGACAATGACATGAGAAGAAATGGAAGCTGACCAATTAGAGCCACATTCCTTTCATGGCACATTTCCTGAACGATATGCAGTACATACATTTCCTATAAGTAATTGATTGCAAACGCTTCAAACTACATTTAGGCCCCATTTTACGCGGCACATTTTCACGAGAGACTCATTTTTTCCACGATAAATTAAATTACTTTAACTATTAACTGTACGATTTAGTTTCAAAAATCCCTCGTGCTGTGCGTAATAAAATAGAAGAACGCACCTATGATATATTTTACTGAAAAACCAAAGCAAAATAAAGAAAAATTATATATTTATCTGAAAAAATAAAGAATTCATCGTTGGAAGAATTAGTATCATTTTAAGCTTTAATATAACGTGCATACTCGTCAAACGCAGTTAACTGGTTAATTTACGCAAACTAAATTCAGTAACACCGAAGAAAATGTACTTTTCTTTCCTAAAACGTCACTATTAGTATTTCTTTTCGTTCGACTACGTGAAATAAATCTGTATTTGTAAAACCCATACTAGTTTTTCTTTCCAATATTTTTTTTTCACGTATACCAACAGACTCTATTTACACAATTTTCATTCGAAAACGACTCCATGAGAAATAGATCTTCAAGTAAATCGACAGTCAAGTGTATAAAAAGGAACATTATTCTAGTCACAGTCCCATGTTAAAGTGGATCAGTAGAGCACAGCGCTACTGGGCCAATGTAAAACCAGCATAATCCCGTCTGCGCGCGAGAGCGGTCACAAATTTCTGCCCGCGCGAAATACTCGGCCGTCCGTGGCCGCGGATTATGACATTATCGGTATAATCGATGGTCACGATTTGCTATGGTTACGCCGACGGCCTGGCCGATCTTTTGTGTCGGCGGACCCCCCCTGATTTATGAATAAACGGCCGCGTACTCTCGGACGCCTCGCCGGACACGAGTTTCGGCCCAGTGAGTTTTGCGGCGCGAGGAGAGGGAGACAGAGAGAGAGATTCGAGAAATGATGTATGGCAGCCCGTTCCCGAGTTCAACGAGACAACCGCCAGCCCCCTTGAACCAGGGCCCCGGCTGTTCCCCGGATTTCTTCTTTATTTTATGAACGGCCACACGCGTTTGCCACCTACCACTCGATATATTATTTCCGTTCGTTCGAGGAGGTTAATTCGCGCGTGCCTAATTGCACACGTGGGCGGAACCCGTTTCCGACAAATTTCTTTTTAACGGACGATTCGTGGCCCAGTTTGTGGTTCGGTGTTTTTCTTATTTCCTTGGATCTGGTGGAGGGTTCTGATATTTTGGTTCATTTGTGTTTTAACTCCTTGCAGTAGGATTTATTTCTTAGTTATGTTCGATGAAACTACTTTATCGTTAATCATTTATTAGCAAAATACGCAACTTTTATGGTTATTCTATGTCTACGTTTACTTCGAAGGTTAACGATTAATAATAGAAAAGTAATATTTTATTTATATTTGAAAAATATAAATGACACTTAGATTTCTCAAATTCAGTTTGAAATCTTCGTCACGAGTCGGACACGGTATTGTGGGTGAAGAAGTTAACACTCTTTTCCGATTTTTTTTTAAACTGAATTTGTCAAATCTAAATGTTATTTACTTTTTTTTAATATGCATTAAATATTACTTTTCTGTTATCGATTGTTCACCTTTGAAGTAAACGTAGATATAAAATAAGTAGCAAGATATTTCTTCTCTTTCTAAAAAATCAATGACGATAAAGTAGTTTTATCAAGCACAATTGTGGAAGATATCATAATGGGTTAAGGATACGTTGGAGAAATAGTTAAGACTGGCTGACAGGAGATTTCAATCGGAAACTTTTCCGTGCAATCGGCCATTTTTTCCCAAACG